GATAAATCTAGATGTGCTTATCATCTTGATGAAACTGCAGCTTGATATGCTGCCGAAAGCTGTGGGGGGAATAAATCACTAAGTCATTTGAGTTACAAAAATTTCTTAAGAAATTAGTTCACTTTCTGAAAACCTTTGAAAAAAAGGTTTTGTTTTAAACTCAGCTCTGAATTAAAGACAAGCTTGCTCGGATACTTTTTAATTGCGTTAGCTTCCTAGGCAATGACAAGTCTGCCCTAATGACACTCGCCACAGCCTTGGCTCTTGCACTCCACCACTGGGGTGAGGCTACATTTATGCCAGTCAGGCCTTTTTGTTTCTTTGTGCTTTTCTTTCCTGTAGTTAAAAGTATACATTTAAAAATACAGCACTGACTACTATGATTCTTTAATCCTACTGCAAGGCCATAACTGCACCTTCTTACACATTTTCTTCAATATCCATCGCATTTCCATTCCCACATTTTTAAGTTTCTTGATTGTCAACCATTTTTACCCTCCATCAAGTACTAAATTCTGACTTTCTGTCACTGTACAGTACTGATCTTATAACCCGTAGCATTCTTTATGCCTAATGGCCATCACTATGCCCACAAGATTCACCATGTTTTAGTATCTATAAGCATATAATTAAGAACATTTTAAGATTTACTGGCTTATCCTCAAGACATGCAATCCAACACAACAGAAAATGAGAGCTTTTTTTTTCCTAGCTTACCTTTTATTTCTATTCATTTTTCTGCTATGAAATTAATGAAAATTCATTATGATTAATGGCCTAGACTTTTCTTATATCCCTTATCTTCGTAAGTATAGGGCTCATAACAACTTCCTCTTATCTTTTTATATTTTTTTCTTCCAGGTTTTCAAGGGTTGCATACTTTTTAACTAAAGGAAGAAAAATTCAATCTGCAGAATGTGCTAAGGAGAGGAAGTTTTGTGCAAAGCACCACAGTGTGCAACTCATATACTTTTCCTATATATAACTTAATTTTACTGATATTCAGCAAATGCCAGCAAACATGCAACTATGCCTTGAACATTTTACTGCCCTATCCAGCAGTCGCTGAAAGGTATGCCGGAAGCACAAGTTGCTGCGAAGTTGGCAAAACACTACAACAAAAGGGAGTGCAGAAATTCATCAGGTCTACAAAGAGCAATACCAGTCTCTCACTGCAATTGCTATGAAGCTGGTGTTTTATAAACACAGACTCACTCCAACAACAGCAATAACAAGTATATATCTTTTCTGTTAGGTTTGATTTATGCCACACCAAGTTTTTCAGTGAAGAAGTTGTAAGACCAATCTATTAGACAAATGGTCCACAGGGAAACGCAACTGGTTTTGTTCTTAATGCTTCTAATAGTCAGAGCCTCCATTAAGATTTTCTGACTTCATGGGTTTGTTTATTTTTTTCTGGTTTGTTGTTTGGTTTTTTGTTTGTTTGGAGGGTTTTTTTTTTGTTTTTTGTATTTCCTGTTTGTTGGTTTTGTTGTTTGATTTTGGTTAGGGTTCTTGTTTTCTTTTTTTTGAGTTAACACATTAGTATAATTCTTCTAGTCAAGCAACTTCTATTCCTCATCTCAAGTATTTGCTTTATCCAGCACCATGGGGTGATATTACATGAGCTCGAGTGATGGTTTTCAAATGCCAGTATGACTAGAGTGGTAGAATATAGAAATATTGTAAACATTTTACAAATAGGGAATGGAGGAATGGAACAGAAAAAGAAGCAACTTATTAAGGTATGTAAATGCTTAGGATGCCTCTTGGGATTTTCATAGGTGCTCTGACATACAACTCTTATGGAAATAAGTTAAGATTTTTCACCAAATGCCAGATTAGCATTTTTAGTTTTCCAAAAACCTTTAAAATCTGACTCCCCAGGTCACCCTGTAAATCCAGCAGACCAGCACATTAAACCTAGAACTCATCAGCCCTTAAACTTACACTCCAAGCACTGTGCAGCAGTTCCCATAACAGGGCAAATTACAAAACCTGAAGATGCTGTGCATATCACAACCATCCAGTCCCCTTCTGTTGCCCTCCCAGGCTGAGTCACACACCAAATACTCAGACCAGATGCTGGGGAGCCACACAGCCAACTGCATCAGATGTCAGACAAGAAGTGAGTGGATCTCCAGGGATCTGGCTGCTTTGTGCTGGGACCAAGGGGTGCCAGGAGGCTGAGCTTGTAGATGAACCCTGGTATAAGGCCCAGCAACCCCTCAGTGCTCTCCCTCCCTAGAGTTTGATTTTTCCAATAACTACTGCACTTGTACAGCCACCCTTCCACTCATGTAACAGAAACTCCACACAGGAATGGCTCAAACCAAATGTGCTGTAAAATCATCTGTATCTACCACATAGTTGGATTTAGGCAAGTAGCCACTTTATTGCAGAAAAACTTCCATAAGGGCAGGCTTTAATTCCTGTACAAAAGCTGACTGTGTGTGCTGTCTAGCTGCACTATTTTCAAGCCTAACAAAGTTGCCCACGATTTTTTGGTAGCTCTTTTGGCTGGCCTAAGAGGAAGCTGCTCAGTTTGGCAAGTACACATCACCTTCACAAAGGGGAAAAAGTCATGACAAGGCTAGCTTCATCTTTTGCCTAATTCTAACAAGACGACGCTGTCTTTCAGGAAAGGCTTTCTTCATCCCCCTGTGTTTAGACGACTAGTGGCTGGAAAGCAAATGGATTAGCTGTCAGGGCTTTTTAATGCCATCATTAAGTCAATGAAAGTCACTAAGTAAATTTAGATGGGTCAATGTACTACCCTTTGATTGTGAATTGCATTAATTCATTTTGGAAGTCACGTACACTGCCTTCTTGCAGCCCATACCATCATAGCCAAGGACCAGATAAACAAACCAATGGGCAGCCAGCTTACTGGGACAATCTATGTATTTTAATCAAAGAAACAGAAGACAAGGTAAATTAATAATTTCCTGATATTGCTTTCCTACAGAAGCATCTGCCAGTCAGGGCTTACAGATAACATGTTGCCTGCTAGACCCTCTGTGACTGGATGCAGCTGCAAAAAATAAAAATGTTAAAATTGAGGCCAACAGGAAGATGCTGCCTGCAGCGTAATTGCTCCCTGTTGCTGCACATTGGCTGGCAGAGGTTAGGGACCGCTGCTCTGTGTAATTGAGCAGGTTTGCAACAATACCAGAAGGCTGTTGGATAATAGTGGTTGATAGTGGCAAAACAGGTAGAAATAAACACATATTTTATTTTTTATTTTTTTTTAAATCTTTAGGTAGAGGTGATAATTTTTTACTGAACAGACCGTGTTTTAAAAATGCTCCCAAACAGATGCCAGGTAGACTTTTTGCCCAAGGCTGAGAGAAAAAAAGCAGGTAGCTTCTGAAAGAAATCTGAAGAGCTGTTATCCAAGTAGCTGAGGTTAAAGTCTCCGTGGGCATTTCAAGTAATTTAGTATTCAAAGTCAGTACTGATTTAAAACATTTCTGGACTCATCACCTGACATACAAATACATGACTGATCCCTTGATAAAGGAAAATTACAGAAAATCACAGGTGTCTGCCACCAAAATGACTGCTTATGTGAACAAAGCAATTCAATCTGCCTATATGAACAAAACAATTAAATTTACCTAATTCTAAAGAATCCTTCTAAAACATTGCATAAATCACTTCAATTTGGGGAAAAAAAAAAAACAACAAACCCCCCAGAAAACAGAATGGCTGCAAACAGCTTTGGATACAAGCAAACTGAATATCAGAAAATTCCTTATTCATTTATTATCATAGCAGATCATTTTGTCACCATTTTTTTCTTAGTTTTACTTGTTTTTGCCAGGCCTTTCAGCACATCCCAGCATTTGTCAGTAAATTGCACTGTTAGTTCAGACACAACAAAATACAGAAAAAAGATTTAAGACTAGCATGTCATCAGACTACCCCATGCTAAATGACCTAATTTATGTCAGAGAATATTAAATAAATTAATACCGCGCTGCGAGGATCAGCTGAGCTGAGCCAAGCTTTCCAGCACAGCAAATGTTTATCAACTTCGCCTTTCATGCTCTAGATTTATCCTCAAATTGAGCAAACTCAACCTGACAGTATAAAAAGAAATATAACAGATTCCTACTTCAGATTGCAATTTGCCTTTTCCTTACAGCCAGACATGTACAGAACACTAGCCATCTTTCAACATTTTCATGTAGCTGGAGCTCAGCTTTCTTGTTAAAAAGCTTCCTTAAGTTAAAGTTTCTGTGTCATACCAAGACATGGAAAGGCAATCGTAATCCAGGCACGCACACGCAGAAACACTCAGTGTACATTGTATCAGACCTACAACCCCACATCTGCTGCAGAAACCAAGAAACAGGGTTTTTTTTCCTTGTGAAATACACAGAATTAGAAAGTTCGGTTAAATTGTGCTGCATCTAAACTGAGCTATGACACCCACTTCCAATAACACACACCCCCTCCCCCCCCCCCACCACCACCGGTCTTTACAACTGAACCCGGCGTAGCGGGGAGGGCCGCAGGAGCCCAGGCAGTGCCCCGGGCTTGTGGCACTGCAGCAAGCTCCGGGGAGGCGGCGCAGGGCAGGGAGGCCGGGCCCGCTCTGGGCCAGGCGGAGCCGAGCAGACCCCAGCGGCGGGACGAAGTTGCCGGCTCGCCCGCGCTGCCGGCACCGGGATGCGGCGGGGAGAGCTGCCGAAGGAGGGCTCTACTTCTCCTCCAAGAGCTGCTCGCCGGACTCCTCTAACAGAGACCCGGCAGCTTAGGGCGTAGCGGCAAGCAGCCGAGCCGGGATGAGCATCCTCCGCCGGCCAGACCGGGGCAAATCCTCCCACACACTCCCGGGAGCCCCTTTCCCCTGCCGTTCGCTCGCACCCAGCGGCAGGCCTCGCCCCGCGGCACCCGGCCTCCGGGGGACGCCGGGGGATGTTCACCCTCCTCCGGTATCCAGGGGACGGGGGAGGCCGCCAGTGCCTGCAGGCCAACGGCGGCGGCCGTACCTGAGTCGGTGAGGCGGGGCCGGGCTCTGTCCCGCAGGTAGTAGATGAAATCCCGGCAGTTCTCGTTCTCCACCGCCCCGACGGAGCACAGCTCTGCCAGGAGCTGCAGCGCTTTCTCGCAAATCTCGTCCTCCCTGTCGCCGGGCATCGCCCCGCAGCATCCTCGGGAGCGGAGAGGAGCCGAGCCCTGCGGTCAGGCGCTGCGCCGCTGCCCGCCACCCGCCTGCAGCCGCCCGCACCGCCGGGCCGCCACCCGCATCCTTAGCTAGCGGCGCCCGCCCCGCCGGGCCGAGCAGGGCAGCCCGCCGCTTGTCCCCGTCCCCGCCGCCGGCTTCGTCCCGCCGCCTCCTGCGCGCCGCTGCCGGGGGTGGAGAGCGGGGTGGACGGTAGGGTCCCACCAGTTGAACGCGAGGGTGGGGAGGGCCGCGGCCGCGCTGGCGCAGCGCTTCCCCGCGGCGGGAGCGGGCGGGGACGGGCCGTGCCTCCTCCCGGCCCGGCTGCGCCGCGCCCCTCCGCCCCCAAGGGCAGGGCTGCCCCGGGCCGCGGCCCCCAGCCCTAGACGCGCTCTGCGTGGGAGCCCTCTCGGCGGCGGGGTCCAGTCGCGGCACCCCGCGACCCGGCCGTGTCTGGAAAGGGGTGCGGAGGAAAACTTGAGAAGCGGCGCAGGGTGTGATGGAGGATGGTCCTGAGCGCAGGTCCTGTAGGCAGATCCTCAACATCCTGCCCTCCATCGCCGGCCAGCCCCAGACCTCCGCCTTGCTGGTGGGCGTTTAATGTTAACAGTCTGATAAATACCGTATGTTCTCTGCGTCCCACTGCCTGTTCGGAAATTACTCCATTCACTCAGCTCATTGTCTTGAAATTACAGTCGATAAATAATGTGTGTCCTCACTGTCGGGAGCCTAGCAGAGGAGAAAACGTTAGAAATTTACTCTGGACGGGAGGATGCTCTTAAGCGAGTTCATAGTTTGGCCTGGGTGATGGGTTAGAAAGAGTTAAAGCACCCATGAGAAATCTCAGGCACCTGCCAACCGGCCATAGCCTGAGGGGAAAGGTAGGAGAGCCTTCTGGAGGAGCTGAAGGCTGAGAATCTGTCTGCCATTAAGCATGTTTATCCTGACAAGCAGGAGATTTGTAAGGTGCTGCTTGGCTTTCTGGGTTTGTAGGGAGGGAGGCTGGTGGGTATCGTGAAGGGAAAAGCTGAGAAATGGCTGCTTCATTTAATGTGATCCTCCCCCCCTCCCCTCTTTTGTCATAGTTTAAGCAAATGTTAGAGGCCATGATGAGCTTGGGAAGTTCGGACTGGTATGGATGTTCAGCCTACTGTTTGAAGGCTGGTGAATAACGGTTCTAGAAAGCATGTAGACAGCAACATCTTCTAGTAGAAACTTTTTATTTTCTCCCTTCTTTTAAGGAAAAAGTGCATCATTGAAACGTTAAGGTGTATTCTGTGAATGGAGTAGAGGTTAACAAAAATTGTATATTGATATAGCTTGTTGTCTCTTAGTGATTTGGCAGCACTGCTTGTGTCTTAAAACCATTACTTTTTCCCTTCTAACGGAAAAATTATGTCTGTAAAACTTGATTGTATAAGCCCAGTATAATTCCATCAATCAACAGGCAACTCTTTCACACTGGCTTGTTATTAGAGAAGAAAATATGTAATAAAATGATGTGTAGCTGTTACAATTGTTGCTGTCATATTTCTGAAACTGGGAGATTATTATAACATTAAGTATATGTTTTCACATCTAGACATGGGGAAACTCCCTACTAGTTTCAATAAGCGCTCCACAAATATTTATTTGGTGCTGGAAATAACCAGTGTGATTGGCTTACTTCTCTGAGCATGAGCAGGTACAGTTCTGCAAAGGTGCTGTCAATCACAGCTCTTTCTCTGAAACTAGGGAGGAGGCTTTAGCAGTACTGCTGCTCTTCTTGCTTCAGTGAAGAAAGGGTAAAATTTAGAGAACTCGTTAGAACCAGAAATACCAGAATACATTTCTGAGAAAACCAGTTTCAAGAGGGCTGGTGAATTACTTGTGCATATGTAAGTTTTCTAGGAATAGGAACTTTTACATCTGTAGCACAAAATCCGAGTCCTGGACAGAGCTGGCAATGCCTAATAAAGAGGAGGAAAGAGGAGCTATCAAAGACCACAGGCAGAGACATTAGTGAATTACAGTCCAAGTCTTCAAGAGATCACATGTGAGACCAGGTTTGGAATTACTGTACAATTTGTGCATCATGACTTATTCATGCAGCTTATTTGGCTATATTTTGGTAGTTTGGCCCTGATCTAGGTGGCTGTGCTGTTGTATAGCTTGTACTCTGTCCAGGATAGACAATAGATCAACTGCAATGTGATATTAATGCATTTACTAGACTGTGGTTTTTATCCTGTGGGACCACAAGCCCATCACTAGCTTGGGAATCTGGCTTGCTGCAGAGTGAGCTCTGGACAGGCTAGTGATGAAGCAGTAATTTCTGTATCTTTCTCCTTTAACTAAAATATCTTGCCTAATTTTTTAAATAGCAGCAGTTTGAAGGTGCTGAGATGTTTGTAAATACAGATGGTGAGGGTTGGAAATTTTTTAATCTGGTGGAGGAAAGACAATTAAATTTTTGGACATTACTGCTAGTAACCAAAGGCATCTATTCTCAAAAGCTCTGGCAGGTACTAAGTGTACTCTCTGAGCAATTTCCCATGTCTCTCTCTGGAGATAACAGCAGTAAATGCAATCTGCTGTGTCTCAAAGCAAGTGCAACTTTTCCTTCCTGTTGTGAGAGCTGGATTTTATCTGCCATTTGTTCTCATCGATTGCATGTTTCTGTTCTTGCAGGCACTTCTAGTTGTGGTGAGTTTTCTCCTGTGTCAGCTGAAGATTTTGCCAATTCAGGGGCTTGTGTTGTGTTTGAGACCCCTAGTGAATGTAGTACTAATTAACTTTTGTCCTAGAAGGGCATTGCAGTTTATCACTCCTGTTAACTTTATCTTACAAGTTACAACTTGTACTGACCATAAGTCTATTTTTTGCTGTTTAGCTCAGAGCAGCCCAAAAAATCCCCAAGACTGCTACACATGAAGTCAGAATAAGTTTAACTGTTTGACCTCCAACAGTTCTGTCATCATCAATTTACATGTTCTTCTTTCTTTTCTTGAAATAAAGCTTTCCCCCAGTATTCTGGCAGTCACACAGGGGTTGCTTGGCAATGAAATCATCTTCAAAGCTAAGGCGTTGATGAAACAAATGCCTTTCTGGAAGAAAGTGAGGCAGCTTGCATCAGAGTTTTTATTATGGCTATGCTGCAACCAGAACATATCAGAGATTAGTATCAACTATTTATAACTGGTTGAATGACATTTGGCCACAAATACGTGGATATAGCTCATCATGTTAATGCCCTTTAACAAAAGGGAAGAAAGAGGCCAGTGTATTTTGGGTAATCAGGAAAACATGTAGAGCCATCGACTTACTAAACACAACAAAACAAACAAGGTTGGTTTTGGTTTTTTTTTCCCAGAAATCAAAGTGGATGAACTCTGTGATTACAGAAAAGGCAGAAATCAAGGAGGACATTGCTATGGTTAAAGAATGCCCTTGTGCTGAAGTCCAGCTGGAGAAGGGAAATGCCATTCTAGGACCAAAGATTGATATGCCTATCAAATCTTTGTTATTGGCTGTGCCAGACTTTCTGCCTGACTGTCTCTCATAGATGCATATAATCTTTACCTTCTGTTCTTAATGGATATATCTTTTTATACTCCTTGAAAGTAGAAAGTGCTCAGGTGAACATACAAGAAATAGTAACATGGGTAATGACTACTGAGTGTTTGTGAGCTGGTGCTTTTCTGGGCAGCTTTATTATTAAGGTCCATTAGTTATTCTTCACAGAAGGTTTTAGGAATGCTTTTAAAGGGAAGGTAGTTAGCAAATAGGTATGCCCCCCTTTGGGCTTTTGACTCATTGGCTGCTAGAGGTCACATGGACACAGGTCAGTGTTAACTAGAGGGAATGTCTTACGAAACCTTGATAGCTATTCTTCCATAGAGGCAATAATATGGAGGCATTTAAAGATTCTGAGATCAGTGTTCAATACTGTGTTACAGCAACATGAGAAGGGATGGTGGTGTATTTTCATTAAGGTATTTATAAAATCTTAAGGCTTTTTACGTAGAGTCACATGTCTTTTATTGACATCTGTTCAGATTTTTAAAACATAATGCATAAAAACAGTGTTAAACACTGGATAGTACACAGCTTTGTTCTTTCCTCTGCAGGAGGCCTGTGAGCTGTTTCTAAGTCAGAATCGGTAAAATGTCATTACAGAGTATTCTGAATTATGGTAGGTAGGTTGATTGCTTTCTCACAGCAGGTCCTGGAGGAAGAGCAAAATGTCTGTCCTTCACTGAGCAGAAAAAAAGTATGTCAGATCTCTTAGATACCATCAAGCCTCACTAGAAGCTGTGCTATATTAGGGGATTAGGAATATACATCTGACAGCCAGTGTCCTGATACAACTGGGGCTCAGCTAGATTTTATGAAGTGAGTTGAAGGAGTGTGGATAGTGAATGCATTGCTTGACTGAAGGTTATGAGAAAAAGCAAGACAGCTACTTTACATCTACTGTAGCTCATCAACGGGATTTTAGGGGAAGGGTTTTTTTCCCATGTTGCTGTTGGACAAAGCTTTATTGCCTAGGGAAGAGATGCAAGCTCAAAGTAGAAGACACTGCCCAGAAGACTGTAAACAGTGTAACATGAAGACAAGCTATTTCAGATGATGAATCATTTTCATGACCCCTTTATAGCAGATAGCCAGGTTGGGGTTTTTTTTCTTGATCTTCATACACCTCACATTGTTAGGAGAGGACTATAGGTGCTGTAACTTGTCACCTGCTATTTTCATCTATCTTAAGAAAGCTTCCTCAAAACTAGAGAAAGAGGGAGGAAAACACCTCTTCTGATTTAACTTTAATTCTAATTTGACAATCTCTTCTTTAGCAGCTTTTGCAAACACTACTGGGGAATAAAAAAAAAAATAAATAAATGTGTACTGAATAATTCAGTCTTGAGAGTGAATTGAGCTTGAGGAGAACTGTTGAATTCCCAAGTCTGTGGTCTGTGGTTTTTGTTATTGACTGCTCACATGGATTTAAAGTCTTGTCTCCACAAGTCAGTGGTTTTTATCTCCCCTTTGCAATTTTGTCCAGCTTTCCATCCCTTACTGCCAGCAATCTGATCTTGTGAATAAACATAC